TGGAATGGAACAGAATGGAATAGAATAGGATAATGAAGGATAGGATAGGATAGGATAGGATAGGATAGGATAGGATAGGATAGGAGAATGGAATGGGATGGGATGGATGGGATGGGATGGGATGGGATGGGATGGGACAGGACAGGACAGGACAGGATAGAATAAATAGAATAGAATAGAAAATATGGAATGGAATGGAAAGGAATGGGATGGGATGGGATAGGATAGGATAGGATAGGATAGGATAGGATAGGATAGGATAGGATAGGATAGGATAGGATTGAAAATATGGAATGGAATGGGATGGAATGGGATGGGATGGGATGGGATGAGATAGGATAGGATAGGATAATGAAGGATAGGATAGGATAGGATAGGATAGGATAGAAAATATGGAATGGAATGGAATGGAATGGAATGGAATGGAATGGAATGGGATGGGATGGGATGGGATGAGATAGGATAGGATAGGATAATGAAGGATAGGATAGGATAGGATAGGATAGGATAGGATAGGATAGGATAGGATAGGATAGGATAGGATAGGATAGGATAGAAAATATGGAATGGAATGGAATGGAATGGAATGGGATGGGATGGGATGGGATGGGATGGGATGGGATGAGATAGGATAGGATAGGATAATGAAGGATAGGATAGGATAGGATAGGATAGGATAGGATAGGATAGGATAGAAAATATGGAATGGAATGGAATGGAATGGAATGGAATGGGATGGGATGGGATGGGATGGGATGGGATGGGATGGGATGGGATGGGATGGGATGAGATAGGATAGGATAGGATAATGAAGGATAGGATAGGATAGGATAGGATAGGATAGGATAGGATAGGATAGGATAGGATAGAAAATATGGAATGGAATGGGATGGAATGGAATGGGATGGGATGGGATGGGATGGGATGGGATGGGATGAGATAGGATAGGATAGGATAATGAAGGATAGGATAGGATAGGATAGGAGAATGGAATGGAATGGAATGGAATAATGAAGGATAGGATAGGATAGGAGGATGGGATGGGAGAAGAGAGGAGAGGGGAAGGGAAGGGAAGAGAAGAGAAGGGAAGGGAAGGGAAGGGAAAGGAAGGGAAGGGAAGGGAAGGGAAGGGAAGAGAAGAGAAGAATGCAATGTAGGATATAATAGAATGGAATGGAACAGAATAGAATTCTTTATTGGCCAAGTGTGATTGGACACACAAGGAATTTAGTGACCGTTTTCTCCTTGAAAAAGTTTATGTCCATTGCTTCCAAAGCTGCCTTCAGGTGCTTTGGAGAATAGGTGGACTCCCTCAGGTGGACAACTGTTTTCACTCAGCACTAGAAACGTTGGGCTCAATTGTGGACATAAGTCGAGGACTCCCTGTATTTATGACGGTTGCCGTGTTCCTGGTGTGTGTGTGTGTATGTCACGCGATCCCCTTTTGTGACCCACGGACAAGCCAAGATCAACGGGGAAGCCGGATTTGCTTAACGACGTTGTTGCTAACGTTAACAACCGCCGTGATTCGCCAAACAACGGCGGCAAGACAGGCTGTAAAACGAGTCAAAGCTCACTTAACCGCTGTTCTTGCTTAGTGGGGGAAATGTTGCTTTCACCTGTGGAAAGGTTGTGGTCGTAAGTCCATAACAATTGTGGTCGTAAGTCGAGGACTATCTGCATCGGGTGCCAACAGAGCTATCCAATGTTCATTAAAAAGGTTAGACCGTTTCCTAACCAGGAATCGTGGTTTATCTCCCCACTTTAAAAAAAAAAAGTCTAATCTTAAACCATATTATGTTACACCTATTTTTTTAGGGTAGACTTTTGGTTTTTTCCCCCCCAATGTTTTTTTTTTTCCCCCAGATTCTCCAGATTTGTTTTCCTGGAGAGCCACCAAGGCAAAATGGATTATGATCGTCTTAGTCATGCAATTAATTTCTGCATCTCGTCTGTTCTGCTCCTGTTACGAAACAGGCTGTTTTTCCTTCTTTCTCCAAAAAAAAAACCAAACCCAACATTTAAAAAAATAAATAAATCAGCAATAGTTTCCCAAAGAAGACGGAAATCTAACACTCTTGAAAGCTACTGGAAAGTTCGATTTATTCTGTTTTATGGATCTTGACTCTTTTTTTGGGTGGGTGGGAATGTCGTTGGAGCGCTGAAGGCTGTGATGTCTGCACTTCCTGCGTCGGATGAGGAGAGCACCTCTTTCTCCTTCTATCCTGGCCACTTTTTACAGAGGTACCATTGAGAACGTCTTAACAAACTGCATCCCGATCTGGTTTGGTGACAGCAGTGCCTCAGATAGAAAGTCCCTACAGAGAGTGGTGAGGACAACCGAGATCATAGGAAGCTCACTTCCCATTAATTCAGGATACAGCTTATAAACGCTATGTACTTAGAGCTCGAAGCTTTGTTGGAGACCCCACACACCCACTTTACGACCTGTTTCTGTTACTCCCTTCTCGGAGGGGGTTTCGAAGTATTTCTAGCAGGACTTCCAGATTCTGGAAAAGCTTTCTTCCCTAGGCCATCCATCTGGTAAAACTCGCAAGATTCGTTTTTCTCGCCACGGATGCGAACTAGACGGGTGTTGTTTCTCTGTGTCATATAATATATGTGGGTATGTGCATAATTTTGTGTTTATTTATTTTGTCGTGTTTATGAGGTGCATATCGGAGGAGGTGATCCTTCCGAGAGCTGTACGCTACGAAATTTCATTTTAATGTTATGCCGATTACGGTACATTCAAAGCGACGATAAAGTTAACGCTAAGTCGGAGTTCTAAGTACTTTCTATGCAGGAAGAAAAAGTGGTTCAGCCCCACCAGGAAATCGTCATTGCAACAAAATGGGAGATTGAATACAAGTACTCCTTGACTTACGGCAGTTCGTTTAGTGACCGTTTAAAAGTTGCGACGGCACTGTTTTTCTGTTACAAGCTTTGCAGCATCCCCATACATATTCATGATGGTCAGAGTTCCGGGCTCACATGAACCCCTATGGCGACCTCCTGACGAGCAAAGTCCTCGAGGAAGCCGGATTCGCTTAACAACCGGGTGACTCACTCAACGAATGCAATGGCTCGCTTAACGACTTCGGCAAAATAGTTGTAAAATGGGGCAAAACGCATGTTTCAGTTGGCAACATGAATCTGGGGCTCAGTCGTGGTTGTAACTCGTAGTTTCAGATCAGCGTTGGAAGGTTATAGAGCTAGAGCAGGGGGTTGGACTAGATGACCTCCAAGCTCCCGTCCAACTCTGCTGATGTTCTAGGATAGAAACATTCCTGGGAGTCTTTAGTCCAATGCCATCGAAGCAGGCTTAGATTACCGGTAGTCCCCAACGTATGACCGTTCGTTTAGTGACCATGAGAAGTTACAACTGTACTGAAAAAAAGTGACGCACGACCAGTTTTCACACTTAATGGCCGTTGCAGCATCCCCTGTGGTCAAAATTTAGACGCTTGGCAACTGACTGATCACGTGACAGTCGCAGTGTCACGTGATCCAACTTTTGCGACCTTCTGACAAGCAAAGTCAATGGCAAGGAAGCCAGATTTGCTGAACAACCGTGTTTTGAACAACTGTCTCGCTTAGCAACAGAACCTTTGGGTTGAATTGTGGCTGTAAATCAAGGACTAGCTGTTTATAGAATCCCTCATTCCCCTGCAGTGGGGTGGGAATGGAGATTTTGCAATATCTTTCCCAGTGGTGAAATCCAATTCCCTTTAGTACCGGTTCTGTGGGCGTGGCTTGGTGGGTGTGGCAGGGGAAGAATATTGCAAAATCCCCATTCCCACCTCACTCTGGGGCCAGGCAGAGGTGGCATTTGCCGGTTCTCTGAACTGCTCAAAATTTCCGCTACCGGTTCTCCAGAACCTGTCAGAACCTGCTGGATTTCACCCCTGATCTTTCCCCTGGAGTGGGGTGGGAATGGGGATTTTGCAGTATCTTTCCCCTGGAGTGGCGTAGGAATGGGGATTTTGCAGTATCCTTCCCCTGGCACGCCCACCAAGCCACGCCCACAGAACCAGTAGTTAAAAAAATTGGATTTCATCACTGGAATAAAGCCTATATATGTGTATGTGTCTCTCTGTCTCTCTCTGTGTATAAAGTTTAATATATGCTTTATTTAAACTTAATTTGTATATTAGCTATCACATGACCTGTATGTATGTGTGTATTTCATCTTTATTTTATTTATATATAAATAATATGTATATATATATAAATAATATATCTATCACTATCTCTATCTAATCTATCTATCTATCTATCTATCTATCTATCTATCTATCTTTATATATATATATTTCTACCCAGGTCACGCGATCACCGATATACAAATGTGAGTTTAAATAAAGCATATATAATGCCTGTGTGTTTGCTGATGCTTTATTTAAACTCATATTTGTATATCGGTGATCGCATGATCTCTGTAGATCCCATATATCCTATATAAAATAAACAAGGGAGAAAACTATGGAACCTCCAAAGCTAGGCGCAGTCACTCCTAACAGGCGGGGGGAGGGGGGAAAGAGGATGAAAGAGCGGCTTTCATCCGGGTCTTTTTCTGTCTTTTTTTTTTTTTAACCCTTCCGCCTTTCTCCTCCCCCCTCCCTCCGCGGGGGATGAGCCAAAGCGGGCGGGAAGTGAGAAGCGCCGCCTCCTCCTCACCCAAACCAAAAAAAAAACAAGCCACCTCCGCGCGCGCCTTCCCTCAAACCCCGCCCTCGAAGCGCTTTTCACCAATCAAAACCGGAGGCGGGCGTCCTTTTGCCTAGAGCCGATTGGTCTTCCAACAGGAGGAAGCCGAGTTGATTTTTGGCTCCTCCCCGTCCCCCAACGGTCGGAAGGCGCGAGCGCCGCGGGGAGGGAGGGAGGGAGGAGCCGCGCCGAGCCACGCCTCCTTTCCTTAGAGCGAGTCCCTAACAACCAGGCAAGCGGGTCGGGCGGGGCGCATGCGCACATCGAGTCCTCCCCTCAGACGCCGAGTGAGGGGCGCGCGGGGCTTGGGGCTCCTTCGTCTTGCAGCCCCCCCCCGGTCGTCTTTCCGACACCCCAAAACCATGGAAGCGCCTCCTCAGGGGAGCAGCCAGGTGCCTGTGAGTAGGAGGGGAGCTGCTCGAGGGGGGGTGTCTGAGGGGTCGTGGGGGGGTGTCTTTGGTCTCCAGTCCCCCCACTCCCCACATTTCTCCTTAGGGTCCTCTTTGCTTGGGGACCCCATTCAGGCCCTTCTCCCCCCCCCTTTGCAAAGACGCTTTGGCATTTTAAAAAGTTTAAATCCCCCCCTTCGCCTCCCCCCCTTTTCAGGGAAGGACCCCCCCATTACAGGGAGTCCTCGACTTACGACCACAATGGAGCCCAGGGTTTATGTCACTAAGTGAGACGTTTGATGAGGGGCTTTTCTTGGCCACGTTTTTTTGTTTTTTGTTTTGCAACGGTTGTTAAGCGAATCCCCCCAGCGGTTGTTAAATGAGTAACACCGTTGCTAAGCGAAATCGCTGGATTTGGATGCTTGGCCACCGACTCCTATTTATGACGGTCGTGGTATCCTGGCGGGGGGGGGGGTTTCCTGTGATCCCCTTTTTACGACCTTCCATGACAGGCAAGTGGGGAAGCCAGGTTTCGCTTAATGACGGTGTTATGAACGTATAGGCTGCAAGTGAGTCACTTAAACATAGGTCGTAAAATGGAGCAAAACTCACTCAAACAGAAATCCTGGGCTCCATTGTGGTTGAGGACTCACCTGTACATTTACCTGAATTACTGAATGTCTCTTGAGGTCAAGCGAAAAGGCTGAACTAAGCTTGAGGATGTGCGAGTAAGTCCTCGACTTACGACCACAATGGAGCCCCAGCATTTCTGTTGCTGAGTGAAACATTGGTGAAGTGAGTTTCTTGGCCCGTTTTGCGACTTGTCTTGCCGCCTTTGTTAAGCGAATCCTTGCGGCTTTAAATTAGTTACACGGTGGTTAAAGTGAATCTGGCTTCCCCTCGTTGACGTGGCTTATCGGAAGGTCGCTAAAAGGGGATCACGTGATACAGCAATGGTCACAAATATGAGTCAGTTGCCAAACATCTGGATTTTGATTGGGTGACCGTGGGGATGCTTGCAATGGTCGTAAGTGTGAGAGAGGGTCCCGGATCTGCGCACCTTCCGCCGTGCTCTTAAGACCCTCTTATTCCAGCAAGCCGGCCTGGCCTAATTTTTCTCCCCTTTTTAAATTTTAAATTGAAATTTTAATTTGTTTTAAATTCATTGGGGTTTTAATTGTCGTGGGCCAAATTTATTTAATTTGGTTTTAAATTGTTTTTTAACTTTTGTATTTCTGTATTTTATCCTGTGCCTGTTCACCGCCCTGAGTCCTTCGGGAGTAGGGCGGTATACAAATTTAATAAAACCTAAACCTTAATAAAACCTAAGAGACTTTTTTCCAGTGCCGTCGTATCTTCGAACAGTCACTAAATGAACTTGTTGTAAACCGAGGACTCCCTGTATTGCCTAGCCCAGGTGTGAAGCCTGATAGACTGCAAAACACTCCAGATGAGTTTGTCCAGCTCCGTCCATATGAAACAGGGGTCTCCAACCTTGGCAACTTGAAGACTTGTGGACTTCAACTGATATAATATGATATGATATAACTGATATATCAGACTCCTGATATAAAGGATCTTTCCAAACAGTTGTGATACTGAAAAGTTGTCGCATCTGTTCTGCCAATCTTCGTGGAGGATTGAGAGAGGGAAAATCTTCCAACTTCTTGTGGACTTTGCGTGTTGGGAATTTCTCTCCTGATCTACGCACCATGCAAAATGGGACAAAATGCCCCCCATCCATTTTTTGCCTTCTGATCTTTTTGCTCTTTTGCTACGAGGAAGCCGCCTTCTGTGTTTTGTGATAATTTAGACAGATGTTGTGCATTTGCTTGAGTGCAGCTGGCTGCGGTTTTTCCAAATGACTTGAGAAGAGTTGTGATAATCTTTCTCCTGCTTTGTTGCTTACGGAAAGCAGATTCATAGTGCATCCTAACTGATGTACGTTTCAGAGGTAATTAGATAGTATTATGCTTGGAGTGTCAATTATTATCTTCTGATGTCAATATTCACAGCAGCTTTTGATTGATTAATTAAGCAATTAATTAATTAATTAATTTAAATCGAGTTGATTTAAATCACAATTTCAATCATGATTTCAATCATTAGTAAAAAGGCTTGATTTAAATCAACTCGATTTAAATCCTAATTTTTAAAGAGCAACTGTCATCTCTGCTACTCCTTTGACCCACTGTTGACTCACCGATAGTCCCAGTGTTGCAGAATATACGGCCTCCTGCTACATAACTAAGCTCCATTTCATGCTGAATAAACTAAATTATTTATGGATCTTAAATAGAAAACTATCTTACGATAGATTTTTACCCCAAACGTTTTTTATTAAAATAAATTCGATAAAAATCAATAAAAATTCCGATTTAAATCAAAAAAATCTGATTTTTTTTGATTTTTTTAAAAAAATCATTGATTTTGATTGATTGATTAAGCATTAATGTATGTTGATTACACACAGCCGATCTTCAAGTGTAAAAAAAAAAAACAGTTACTGGTTACAGGCAGTCCTCAACTTACAACCACAATGGAGCCCAAAACTTAGGTTGCTAAGTGAGAAATTTGTTAAGTGAGTTTTGCCCCATTTTATGACTTCTCATCACATTTCTCTGCAGTTGTTCAATTAGTACAGGGTTGTATTAATACTGCAGTTGTGAAATCACTGCAATTGTTAAATTGTATTAGTACATTCACTAAAGTGAACCTGGCTTCCCCATTGACCTTTGCTTGCCAAAAGATGCTCGCATGACCCCAAGACACTACGACCGTCATAAATGTGAGTCAGTTGTCAAGCATCCCAATGAAAATCACGTGACCATGGGGATGCTGCAAGGATCATTAAGTGTGAAAAATGGTCATAAGTCACTGTTTTCAGTGCCGTTGTAACTTGGAATGGTCACTGAGCAGACTGTGGTAAGTCGAGGACTGCCTGTACTTTTCCATCCACAGGTAGTCCACGACTTACGACCACAATGAAGCCCAAAATTTGCACTGCTAAGTGAGACATTCGTTCGGTGAGTTTTGCCCCTGTTTTAAAACCTTTCTTGCCATAATTGTTATGTGAATCGCTGCAGTCGTTAATGGAGTAACCCGGTTGTTAAGTGAGTCTGGCTTCCTCATTGACTTTGCTTGCCAGAAGGTTGCAAAAGGGGATCACGTGACCCCCAGGACATAGCAACGGTCATAAATATGAATCAATTGCCAAGCCTTTGAATTTTGATCACGTTGACTATGGGGATCCTGCAGCGGTTGTAAGTATGAAAAAATGGTCATAAGCCCCCTCTTTTTTCAGTGCCGTTGTACCTTCGAACAGCCACTAAACGAACTGTTGTAAGTCGAGGACTCTCTGTGCAAGGCAATAAATATTTAACTTTGATCCCTAGCAGCTTTATGAAGGTTGTGCCAAACCTCACAAGGACTAGGTACTTGTGTTAGTGTGCTATGTTCTACCATGAGCTTCCTTTGAACCCATCCGCCGAAATGGGGAACGATGGCCCTTTAATAACTTGTGGACTTCAACTTCCAGAATCCCTGAACCAGTCCTAAATCACTTTTTCCAGTGCCATTATCACTTTGACCGGTCACTAAACAAACCATTGTAAATCAAGGACTACCTGTGTACTGTTTTATGCTTCATATGTTCATTTACCCTGAAACTGGATGAAATCCACATTGCCTACAGATCCGATGCAAGGAGTTTGTGTATGTGTGTGAGTGTATGTGTGTGTGAGAGATCCATGCGCATATCATCCCTAACAAAAGGTGACACTTGGTGTGTTCAGTTAAGCGTGAGCGTTTCCTACCTGTGTGTGCGGGGAGTATAACGTGATGTGATAATTTCTGAAAAGTGTCGAGATGAGGTGAATTAAAGTGTCAGAAAAGGTCCTCGTCTTTATGACAGCAGCCACAGAAGAAGCGAAAGGGGCCTCTGCAGCTCTCTGGGCTTGCCGTGTTCACGTGTCCATACGTCACACGTGTTTCTGGTGAGGGGCACCCAGATAACTGCAGTTCCCATGTGCGGCTCGGCTGCAAAACCAATCCCGAAATGCAGAGGTCCTCGACTTATGACCATAATTGCCAAACTCAATTACGGTCGTAAGACAAGGACTGCCTGCATGTCCTTTCGACACAGGGTCAGTAGAGGCAGGAAGAGATTCGTTGCAAGTCGTGATGGTCATAAAATGGATCACCCCCATGACCAGATCGAGTTGTATGACTTTTTTTTTTTTGCAGTCGTCATTAAGCAAACACAGTGGTCATTAAGAGAATGCGGCAGTTGTAAAACAAACCCATGGTTTGCAATGGGGTGTTTCCCCCCCCCCCGGAAACCAGGGTTTACATTGTCACCCGCGATCATGTGACTGTGGGTTGCTGCAAATGGATGTAATTGCAGGCGTTTTGTTGAATGCCCGAAATCGAATGCGGTCACGTGACTGTAGGGTGGTACTGTCAGAAATTAAAAATAGGGTCATAAGCGAGAGCCAGTTTGGTCTAGTGGTTAAGGTACCGGGCTAGAAACTGGGTGTCGATATATTCTAGTTCTGCCTTAGACAGGAAAGCTGCCTGGGTAACTTTGGGCCAATCACCAGGAGACAGTGAGTTCTTGTCCCACATTAGTCATGAGAGCTGGCTGAGTGATTTTGAACCAATCACCAGGAGATAGTGAGTTCTAGTCTCACTGTAGGCATGAAAACTGGCTGAGTAACTTTGGACCAATTACCAGGAGACTGTGAGCTCTAGTCCCACCTTAGGCATGAGAGCCGGCTGGGTGACTTGGGGCCAATCACCAGGAGAAAATGAATTCTAGTCCCACCTTAGGCACATTGGGCTAGTCCCCCTCTCTCTCAGTCCACCCGACCTCACAGGGTTGTTGTTGGGGGAAAAATGGGAGATGGAAAGTGGTGCGCTGGATATATTTGCTCCCTAGAGTTACTATAATTGTGAAAATAATATAGGTAGGATATAAATAAATAAGTACCTTTTGGGGAAGGTCTGTTGCAGGGGTGAAATCCAGAAGGTCCTGACTAGTTTTGGAGAACCAGTAGCGGAAATTTTGAGTAGTTCGGAGAACCGGCAAATACCACCTCTGGCTGGCCCCAGAGTGGGGTAGGAATGGGGATTTTGCAGTATCCTTCCCGTGCCATGCCCACCAAGCCACGCCCACCGAACCTGTAGTAAAAAAATTGGATTTCACCACTGTTCTGTTGTAACTTTGAGCTCTAAGCGATCGGTCGCAAACCGAGGACTGCCCGTATTGAATTGTCATGTGAAAAAACCAAAGCAAAAGAGGATTAAAAAGCCAGAGAATGAAAGGACTGGTTCCTGTTTCAAGAACTGTTTGATATTGACTGAGCTCTGCTTCCGAATCCTTTTTTCCTTTCCTCTTTCAACAATCCTCATTTCTTCTCCCTTTTTCACCTTCTGCCTTGTTACCCGAGTGGAATTCGCACAACTTCTGAAGACCCCTTGCAAGGACCAAAGGACGATGTATTGATTTTGCTCGTAGCGGTTTTGCTCTGGGCCACCACTGAAGTCTCTGGGGGTTTTTTTCGCCCGGAGGCAGCTGCTAGCTTGTTGCTTCTGGAGAGAAGAAACCGGGTTTACTTTTACATCTTGGTCTCTTTCCTGAAAATCAGTTTATTTGAAAGCGTATTGTAGAAATGTAGAGAGTGGACAAGTAGGGAGCTTTCTAACCCAGAATGTATAACTTATTCATCTTTTGTAGATATAAATCTTCCTTCACTTGGAATCTTAACCCGGCCACATGCATGAAAAATATATAGTTTGAAATACACATGCACACTACCATGTGCATATATACTGAGCATTTTGTGTCACTGTTCAGAAATAGAACATATTGCACATTTTGTCACTGCCAGGATGCTGCCTACTGAAATCCCATTTTCCGACTGTCAAGTGTCCATAGTCTCATCATATAAATTGGAATTTCATCCAGTGGCATTTGTCTCCCCCACAGCTTACAGAAAAAGTTCCATTCGTATATCTTCCGGCACAACTACGGTATCCATAGCCGTCTCCTGTATATATATTTAAAAATAGGGAATTGAATTCTATATTATGTGGACAAAACTCTATTTATAATTACTCTTTTGATAATCAGGTAGCCAGGAAGCTCAGGTTGTGTTCTGATTTCTTTGGGTTTTATTTAAAGTAGTGCTTAGGGAGAAGAATGGTTCCCTAACCTTAGGATATGGGAACGATTTCATTTTTGCTTTGTTGGTTTTGTACGTGGTTAGTGTGGTTGCTGTATGTGGCTTTCTTACACAAAGATCGCCCGGTTGATTTGGAAACAGAAAAGGGATGGCAGAAAAAGACTTGCCATCTTTGCGTTGTGTTGTGTTGTATCTTCCCTTTGCGTTGGGTTTTCTTTTCCATTATTTATTTATTTATTTTTATTTACTTTATACATTTTTTGACGCATTTTAATGCTTTTCATGTTTTTATATTTATGCTTTGATGGCACCGCTAGCCACCGATGGCACACTCTGGGTAGTCGTGACGTGCGGCATATAAATTTAATAAATAAGCAAAATGATGATAGACATGTGTTTAACCGAAGCAAGCTTAAACTCGGTTACTGATGACTGACCCAATACCTCCAACTTCCAGCAGTCAATCATCAGTAAACTGAGTTTAAACATGCTTGGGTTAAACCCCTATCTTATCATTTCGACAATTTTTTTTAAGTAAGTAAATAAATAAAAATTAACAAACTGCTGGAAGTTGGAGATACCGATTACATCAGTCAACAGTCATCAGTCACATTTTTCAGGGCTGTTCTAACTTTGAAAGGTCACTAAACGAACTGTTGTAAGTTGAGGACTACCTGTATACCGCTTCATAGTGCTCTACAGCCCTCTTTAAGCAGTTTGCAGAGTCAGCCTCTTGCCCCCAACAATTTGGGTCCTCATTTGACCGACCTTGGATGGACGGAAGGCTGAGTCAACCTCGGGCCGGTCAGGATCGAACTCTTGGCAGTCGGCAGAGTTAGCCCGCAATACTGCATTTGAACCACTGCGCCACCAGGTCTCCTTATGACTGGCTACATCACATGTATGACTGTTGCACCGTCCCCAGGGTCACGTGATCAAACTTCAGATGATTGGCACCTGACTTCTGACAGGCAAAGCCAATGAGGGAAGCCGGATTCACGTATTCGCTTCAGAACTGCCAGCGCTCCACTTAATGATGAGCAAAAATGGTTGTAAAATGGGGCACAACTCATTGAACGACTAACTGCCTTCCTTAGCAACAAAAGTCCGTGATCCAATTGCGGTTGTAAATCGAGGATTGCTTGATCTTAAAAATATGCCTTAAAATGTCCTGGGACAGATTAAAGCTTGATATACGCACAATTCATTTTGTGAGTGGTGCAGTGGCCTAGAGGTGGAGCTCTCACCTCACAATCAGGAAGCTGTGAGTTCAATCCTAGGTAGAGGAAGATATTTCTCTCTCTGGGCAGACTGAGAAATATATATCTGCTGAACAAAACTCCGCATTGGCGACAGGAAGGGCATCCGGCCATTAAAACGCTCTGCTAGCTCCATTCAGTTGCCCAGACTCTACCCGGCAAGGGATTATGGGATTGTGAAAAGATGATGATGATGATACGCAGGATTCATTTTAAGACGGTTTTGTGTGTTTCAGCCGATCGCAACGACGCCACCGCGCCCCAGATTGAAAGAAGAGCTCCTGAGCCAAAGTAGCAGCGGGACCCAAATCTCCAACACCAGCGGTGTGTCCTTGGGAGAAGCAATTAGGCAGAGGTCTCTTATGACTCAGGTTAGCGCGAAACCCTTAACGCCGCCTTTTCCTGACATCCGGTCGGAGTACAGGGAGTCCTTGACTTACAACAGTCTGTTTAGTGACCGTTTAAAGTTACAACGGCACTGAAAGATGTGACTTACGAGCGCATTTCACAGTTGCGACCTTTTGCAGCCTCCCCAGGGTCACGTGATCGAAATTCAGATGCTTTTTTTTTTTTTTTAATTGATTTATATGCCACCTTTCTCCGGAGACTCAGGGCAGCTTACAATGTGCTAAGCAATAGCCTTCATACTTTTGTATATTTTATACAAAGTCAGCTTATTGCCCCCACAAACTGGGTCCTCATTTTACTTACCTTAGAAAGGATGGAAGGCTGAGTCAACCTTGAGCCTGGTGAGATTTGAACTTGCCGTAATTGCAAGCAGCAGTTGTTAATAACAGTGCTTTAGTCTTCTGCGCTACCAGATGCTTGGCAATTGATTGGCTCTTATGACCACTGAAGTGTCCTGAGGTCATGTGATCACTTTTTATGACCTTCTGATGAGCAACGTCAACGGGGAAGCCCGATTTGCTCAATGCAACCAGGATGCTTAACTTATCAACTGCAAGCGATTCATTTAACAGCGGTGGCAAAAAAAACCTCGTAAAATGGGGGCAAAACTCACTTAACAAACGTCTCACGTAACAACGGAAATTTGGGGTTCAGTTGTGGGCGTAAGTCGAGGACTACCTGTATTCACGTATTCTGACACGAAACTTCAGAAAAACTGTTGTTTGGCTGGATAGAAGAAACACGGTGCATGTACAGGTAATCCTCGACTTACAACCAGTTCGTTTAGTGACCATTCAATGTTACGATGGCACTGAAAAATGTGACTTATTACCACCTTTCACATTTATGACCGTTGCACCATCCCTGTGGTCACGTGATCCAAATTAGGATGGTTGGCAACTGACTCATATTTATGACGGTCGCAGTGTCCTGGGGTCCCGTGATCCCCTCTTGAGACCGTCTGATGAGGAAAGTCCATGTGGAACCCCGATAACCGGGTCACTAAGTTATCAACAGCGGTGATTCACTTAACAACTGTGTCAAGCAAGTACATCGTAAAATGGGGCAAAATCAACTTAACACATGTCTTCACTTAGCCAAAGAAATGTTGGGCTCCATTGTAGTCGTAAACCGAGGACTGCCTGTATGTGGAACTTTTATATAGATTTCCTTCAGATCTGCTGAATGCAGGTAGTCCTTGACTTATGTCCGGTCAGTTAATGAAGTACCAGTGGATCTACCTGGGGTACCTGCGATGTGGATTCGAAGTCATGATGGTCATTTCCCCGTCACTTAGGGCTCTCGACAGCTAGACAGGGTCCCACAATCACATGACCCCATGGTCTGATGATGATATTGCAGAAAACAAGCATTTTCCCCTACCAAACCATTGGGTCACTTAACGACCTTGGATCCACTTAACAAACACCATAACGTGTCACAAAAAAGACCGTAAAATTATCGTATATAGATCACATATACTGTATATATGATCTATATATCTCTGTCTGTCTGTCTGTCTGTCTATCTATCTATCTATCTCTATATCTTCTTCATCTTTCTCTCTCTCCCTCTCCATCCATCCATCCATCCATCCATCCATCCATCTCCCTCTCCTCCCTCCCTCCCTATCCATCCATCCATCTCTCCCTCTCTCCATCCATCTATCCATCTATCTCTCTCCCTGTCCTCTCTCTCTCTCTCTCTCCATCCATCCATCCATTTATTCCCTCTCCTCCCTCCCTCCTCCATCCATCCGTCCATCTCCCTCCCTCCCTATCCATCTATCCATCTCTCTCTCTCTCCATCCATCTCTCCATCTCTCTATCTCTCTTTCACTCCCTCTCCATCCATCCATCCATCCATCTCTCTCCCTCTCCTCTTTCTCTCTCTCCATCCATCCATCTCCCTCTCCTCCCTCCCTCCCTCCTTCATCCATCCATCCATCCATCTATCCATCTCCCTCTCCTCCCTCCCTTTCTCCATCCATCTATCTCTCTCCCTCTCCTCCCTCTCCCTTTCCCTCTCCATCCATCCATCCATCCATCTCTCTCTCCATTTATCCATCCATCTATCTCCCTCTCCTCTCTTTCTCTCTCCATCCATCCATCTCCCTCTCCTCCCTCCCTCCTCCTTCATCCATCTATCCATCCATCCATCCATCCATCCATCTCTCTCTCCTCCCTCCCTCCTCCATCCATCCATCCATCCATCTCCCTCTCCTCCCTCCCTCCCTCCTTCATCCATCCATCCATCTCCCTCTCCTCCCTCCCTCTCTCCATCCATCTCTCCATCTCTCTCTCTCTCTCCCTCTCCTCCCTCTCCCTTTCCCTCTCCATCCGTCCGTCCATCCATCCATCCATCCATCCATCCATCCATCTCTCTCTCCTCCCTCCCTCCCTCTCCATCTATCTATCCATCCATCTATCCATCCATCTCTCTCTCCATTTATCCATCCATCTATCTATCTCCCTCTCCTCCCTCCGTCCCTCTCCATCCATACATACACCCCCCTCTCTCTCCCTCTCTCTCTCTCATCTATCCATCCCTACCTACCAACCTATGGCTGCATTTTTTCTCCTCTTCCTTCAGGACCCGGAAGCCTGGTATCGTCCTTGTGCCGAAACAGATATCAGCAATCTCGTGGGTTGGAGGCTCGGCCAGACCCCAGGGGGCTGCAACACAACAGAATTTCCCACGATGGAGGAAGGCCTGCTCACTCCCACTGTGAATTTTGGAAGACCTCAAGCGTCTGAAATGACCCACTCCCCCATCCTGGGTGAGTATTGCCCTCCTGTTTGTTTGGTTTTTTTTTAAAAAAAAAATAGCATAAACAGAAGTTGGTTTGTAAATTTCAGAAAGAAACCATTAAAGTAGGGTTGCTCAACCTTGGCAACTTTAAGAGGTGTGGACTTCAACTCCCAGAATCCTCCAGCCAGACATGTTGGCTGCATAATTCTGGGAGCTGAAATCTACCCATGTTAAACCATGCTGGCTGTGGAATTCTGGGAGTTGAAGTTCGTCCCTCTTAAAGCATACTGGCTAGAGAATTCTGGGAGTTGAAGTCCATCTTAAAGGACCAGGGTTGGGCAAATCTGAGATAGTCCACCATAAACCAGGATGGCTGGCAATTTTGGGAGTTGAAGTCCATCCTATTTTAAATCTTGCTCCTTGGGGCATTCTGGGAGCTGGTGTCCCTCTTAAAGCATGCTGGCTGGGGGATTCTGGGAGTTGAAGTCTTCCCATCTTAAAGGAGCAGCTTCAGGTTGGAGGCTACTCCGTGTCAGCGGTATTTCTCCTTCGGATCCAATCTTCTGCCAGGCAGTTGTGAAGCCCCTGCGGGAGCTTTCATGCCCGCCTCCTCTGAAATGCAGGGAAGCCTACGAGCCAATCAGCGCTTCCTTTCTTCCCCTCCGGTTGACTCCAGCCTTCATTCAAAAGAGCCACTCCAAAGGAAACAATTTGCTGGCACCCCTTCTGCCATCCTTTTCTTTCTCCACTCTCTTTGTGTGCTGGTGAAATGTGCCAGCAACTCTTAAGACGGGTGGGGGGTTGTCATGGGAAACTGAGCGAGGGAAGGTTGGCTGTCAAAAAAATACAAATATAAGCATTGAAATCTTCCAGAAGCGGCTCTCAGCTGTAAAGGTGAAATGATGTAATGTTGACCAGGTGCCAGCGGGCATTTTTCCAGCAGCTGTGACACCGGCGGCATGCTGCCATAGCAGCGAGATAGAGGGAAGAGGGTAGAAGGGCACTTACAGAAGAAATATAAGCTGACCACAACTGTAAATTAGAAGTACGGATAGGTCCTTGGTGCCCTCTGAGCTTGCTGGGTTTTTTTTTTTGCAGATGTTGCATTACCCAAAGTAGGCAACATCATCAATGCTAGAAGGGAGTGGAGTTTCTGGAAAGGAGGAGGAGCAAGAAGGGAGGAAGAAGAGGGAGGAGAGCTTGGTTGTTTTCTTTGAGACGTTTCATGACCCAACTAGGTAACACCATTAGGACTAGCATAAGGATTAGCACTGTTGGTATTACTTAGTTTGGTAATGAAACGTCTGCAAGGAAACAACTAAGCTCAGAGAACACCAAAGGACCCCATCTCCTCCTCCTCTTCCTCCTCCTCCACTTCTCCCTTCTAGTACTGATGATATTACCTAGTTGGGTCATGAAACGTCTGGAAGCGAATAACCAAGCTCATTTCAACCCTGAGCTAAAATATTCTCCTTTATTGGTTACGGATATGTTATGATAGAATGGCCAGAGTTACACTCATCCTGTTTGAGTGGGGGAAACTGGAAGAAACCCCTGAGCGATCGCTTTGGAAAACAGAATGCTGATTAAGGAAGCCAACTGGTGTTTATTAAAATGAGTCAGGCCCAACCAATCTCTATTCCTTTCTAAAAACAGGTTTACAGGTAGCCCTTGGCTTAAAACTATTTTTAGCAACTGTTCAAAGTTAGAGAAGCCCTGAAAAAGTGAGCTGTGAGACTGTTTTTCATACTTACGACCATTGCCGCATCCCCTTGGTCATGTGATCCAAAATTTGGAAGCTTTGCCACCGGTTCATATTTATGACGGTGATCAACCTTCTGACAAGCCAAGTCGACGGAGAAGCCCTGTTCCCTTAATAACCGAAGCAAGAAAGGTCACGAAATGGGGGCAAAACTCATTTTTTTAACGATTGTCTCGAAATTGCCAGCTCCATTGTGGTCATAACTCAAGGACTACCTATACTAATTGAATAGTTTGGGGTTGGAGTATTCTAGGAGTTGAAGTCCACTCACCTTAAGAGCTGCCAAGGTTGAGAAAAACAGGATTGTAAGCAATAAAGTCACATAGGTAATTGTGGTAGTCCATGAAATCATACCAATGGGGATGGGTGTGAAATTTAAAGAAAAATTTGCTCTAATTTCAGTAGAAGAGAAGAGAATGGGAATAGAATAGAATAGAATAGAATAGAATAGAATAGAATAGAATAGAATAGAATAGAATAGAATAGAATAGAATAATGAAGGATAGAATAGAATGAGAATGGAATAGAATAGAATAGAATAGAATTGGGAATGGAATGGAATGGAATGGAATAGAATAGAATAGAATAGAATTGGGAATGGAATGGAATGGAATGGAATGGAATAGAATAGAATAGAATAGAATAGAATAGAATAGAATAGAATAATGAAGGATAGAATAGAATGGGAATGGAATGGAATGGAATATAGAATAGAATAGAATAGAATAGAATAGAATAGAATAGAATAGAATAGAATAGAATAGAATAGAATAATAATGGAATGGAATGGAATAAAATAGAGAATAGAATAGAATAGAATAGAATAACTTTATTGTCACTTTGAATGTACCCTAATCAGCATACATTAAAAATGAAATTTCGTTGCGTACAGCTCTCAAAGGGTCACCACCTCCAGTTTTACACTACACAATCCTGACAAGATAAATAAAAAAATACAAAATTATGTTTATACCCCCATATATTGTATGGCAGAGAGAAACCACACAGTCTCTAGTTAATACACGTTTTTGGCGGAAAACCCCCCGAATCTTGCGAGTTTGCCAGACGGATGGCCGAGGGAACAAAAAAGCTGTTTCAGAATCTGGTAGCCCTGCTAGAAAGACTTGGAAACCCCCTCCCAGACGGGAGCATCAGAAACAGACCGTGAAGTGGGCACGTGGGGGAGTCTTAAAACAAGGCTTGCATTTAAGTCTCCTTTGATTCACATACGCTTCATCAGCAGTCATCCTTCAGGGACAAAAGAGTTTCCTGTGTCTCCAGAAAATGCTATCTTTTAACGAACATTTCAGTCTTGGAGGGGGTGGGGGTTTAAAGACATCAGGAGGGCCAGGCTTTTAAAAAGCCAATTGGAAAACAATTGCCCCCCTCCAAAAAAAAAAAAAAGATTTCTGCGCCGATGAGAGATAGGCTAAGTAGTCGGTGTCGCCTACACTGGCAGTTCTGCCTAGTAACCGAAGGATTAGCATTTCCACAGGAAAGGAGGCAGACATAAGCCACCTACATGCTCTCCCCACGTATATGACGGGCAGGGTTTTTTTTTTCAACACAGGAAGTTGAACATATATGAAAGCCCAGCTCTGACTTGTCTTAAAATGGAGCCTCCACCAGCTAATGATGCTTCACTGGACGCTGAAACGGGACATTTCCAGATTCCTCTGAAAATCAACCAGTGCCTGCAATCTTTTTTTAAAATTTTCCCCTTCTATTCAGCAAACCAAAATAATGATTTCCAGATTGCTGATTCTATCTACAGAAGGTCCTCAACTTATAACAATTCGTTTAGTGACCATTTGGAGTTAGGACATAACTGAAAAAAGGGCATGACCGTTTCTTCCCCCCCCCAACTTACGACCGTTGCAGCATTCCCGTCGTCAAAATTCAGACACTTGGCCACTGCCTCGTATTTATGACGGTTGCAGTGTCCTAGGGGTCACCTGATTCCCTTTTGCGACCTTCTGACAAGCAAAGTCACTGGGGAAGACAGATTGCCTTAACAACCATGTGACTCACTTAACAACTGCAGGGTTTCATTTAACAACTGTGGCAAGAAAGGATGTAAAATGGGGCAAGATTCACTTGTCAGTCTCGCTTAGCAACAAAAACTCGGGCTCAATTGCGGTCGCAAGTCAGGGCCGTTCACAAAGGCACTGAAGAAAGTGACTCATGACCGTATTTCACACTTCTGACCATTGCAGCCTCCCTATGGTCATGTGGTTTTCATTTGGATACATGACAACGGACTCACATTTATGACGGTCGCAGCGTCCCCGGGGGTCACGCGATTCCCTTTGGTGACGTTCTGACCAGCAAAGTCACTTAACAACCATCTCACCTAACAACTGCAGAGATTCACTTAACAACTGTGGCAAGAACGGTCGTAAAAGGGGGACAAAAGTCCCTTAGCAAGTTTCTCACTTAGCAACCTACTTTTTGGGCTCAATGGCGGTCGTAGGTCGAGGACCACCTGCATTTACGACGCTTGCAGCCTCCCAGGGTCACGTGATAAGGCCGTTGGTAACCTTCCCGGCTGGCTTCCAACAAGCAAAAGTTAATGAAGGCAAGCCAGATTCGTTTAATCACGTGATCCACTTAACAACCGCAACAATTCGCTTAACAACCATGGCGAGAAAGGTCGTAAAACTGGGCATAGCTCGCTTAACAACCCTCTTGCTTTAGCCATGGAAATTCTGATCCCAGTTGTGGTCATAAGTCGAGGACTTCCTGTCCTGAGTCCTGAATCACAGTCCGCGGCTGACAGCCTGCCGTCACCCATGGAGGATGGTCTGTTCAGCCAGCCGCGGATGCAACATCCCCGATTTCTTATCCGTCCCAAACTTAATTAGTTTTATAATCAGAATGTCACGGAGGACTTTATCCAATGCTTTGCGGGAGTCACAGCTTTTGCCCCGATCTAGGAAGGAAGCGACCTAATCAAAAACAGAATTAATAATTTGGAGACTTACTTCGTGATGAATTAACAGTGACGGGGGAATGACCGCCATGCGAGCGGGCATCGAGAACGGATAGCCTGTCTCGTCTCGGGGGCAGACCCTTGCGCGGCAGCAAACAAGAAGGGGGAAAGTTTTAGGGGAAGGGGCTGGGGTTTGTGGCATGGGCCAAACTAAGCACAAAGCAGAGATGATTAGAATTAGAATAGAATATAGAGAATGGAGAATAGGATAGAGATAGGATAGGATAGGATAGGATAAGGTAAAGGTAAAGGTAAAGGTTCCCCTTGCACATATGTGCTAGTCATTCCCAACTCTAGGGGGCAGTGATCATCTCTGTTTCAAAGCCGAAGAGCCAGCGCTGTCCGAAGACGTCTCCGTGGTCATGTGGCCAGCATGACTCAACGCCAAAGGCGCACGGAACGCTGTTCCCTTCCCACCAAAGGGGGTCCCTATTTTTCTACTGGCATTTTTTACATGTCCTATCCTATTCTATCATAGGGATGTGGTGGCGAAGACGCTGAGCTTGTCGATCGAAAGGTCGGCAGATCAGCGGTTCGAATCCCCAGTGCTGCGTAACGGGGTGAGCTCCCGTGACTTGTCCCAGCTTCTGCCAACCTAGCTGTTCGAAAGCAGGTAAAAAATTAGATGTTGGTGGCTCACTTGTCTACAAGGATATCTCTGGACCGCCAGTTGGCGACTTAGATTTCCTTTGAAATCCCTCCTTTAATGCTTCAAGAAATGCAACCTTTGAACAACCTCGGACCATCAGGAATTTGACTAATGCCGAAAAACTACTTCCTGGAGAGGAGGGAAGGAGGAGGAAGGGGAGACGAGAAGCATCGGCAAAGTCTAGACATTTTGGAGCCTGGTTCTTTAAAAATGTAGTCTTACGTGCCCACAAAAATTAGTTTGGGTCGCCGAAGAATTAAAATAGATAAGATAGTGCTCCAGAACCAGAAGGGTTGTAAGCAAACCTGTGCAAAAACCTTCTAAAAGCCATTTCTCCAAACGTTGTTTTGAGCCTGGGTTGGTTGTAACTCACCCGGCTTCAAAAGGCATCGCTCTTTTCCGCTTTCCTTCTGCACATCACTTGCCCGGTTTGTCCCAGCTTCGTGGCAGCAGCCATGGTTGCCGCCCCCCACCGCCGACTCGCAGAGACCTCCCTCCGACCTCCGAGGAACTTGCGTGTTCCTCTGATTGTCGGGGGCGCCTCTTTTCCATCCCCATCCCTTCAGGACGGTTCCGGTCCGAAGATCCAATCGGCGGCAGTTCAGCAGCTGGGGTTTTCGCAGGACTCGTCAGAGCCCGCTATTTCCCCGACTGTCTCACTGCGACGTCAAACGGGGTTTTTTTTAAGGAGATCCTGGAAATGATGTACTACCTACGCCCTGATGCTTTGTATTCTAATTTCTTATAGCAGCTTCGGCTGCAGTTTATCTTTAGCTTCGAGTTACAATTTGTATTTCCAGTTGGGATCACTTGATGGTTTGGATGGTCCTTCCCATCTGGGCTACGTAGTACAGGCAGTCCTCCACTTCACATTCATTTAGTGACCGTTCGAACTTACCCTGAAAAAAAGCGACTTAGGACCAGTTTCCACACTTAAGACTTTTTCATTATCGCCACGGTGGTCCTGCGATCAAAATCCAGACGCTTGGCAACTGACTCGTATTTATGACGGTTGCAGCGTCCCAGGGTGAGGTGATCCCCTTCTGCCACCTTCTGGCAAGCCAGGTCAACATGGAAGCGAGATTCGCTTAACAACCGTGTTACTAACTGAACAGCTGCAGTGATTCACTTAACAACTGCAGCAAGAAAGGTCGTAAAGTAGGGGCAAAATTCGCTTAACAACCGTCTCGCTTTGCAACAGAAATTTTGGGCTCTGTTGTCGTAACTCAAGGACTACTTTGATCACGTGATCCTTGGGATGCTGCAGTGGTCAGAAGTGTGAAAAAATGGTCCCAAGTCCCTTTTTTTCAGCAATGTTGTAACTTTGAATGGTCGCTAAATGAACCGTTGTTAGCCGAGGACTACCTGTGTAAGTTGTCCTGATTAGCAAGCTGGGCCGTTTCCTTTTGCCATCATGATGATTGTGGTTTTTGCAGAAATGGCGGATAGCCAGCTGTCTCCCAACCTCCCGCTGATGACGACAAACGCAACCCAAGGCCAGACGTTCTTCAACGAGACCGTCTTTAAGCAAGCAGGCTTGGATTTTGCTCCCTTGAGGTAAGGCTACACTCCCCACCTGTTTAATTGTGGCTAGGTTTAAATCCTTGCTAGATCAAAACCCCCCGGAACATTTGAGTTACCGGCAGAAGAGAATATTTGTGGCTCAGGGTTGAACTGTGGGGTCCTTGGTGGTCTCTGAGCTCGGTGGTTTTCTTGCAGGCGTTTCATGACCCAACTAGAGAACTTCATCAGTGCTAGATGGGAGTGGGGTTTGCTCTCTGTTTATATACAGTGGTTGCCTATCACTATTGGTGGAACCACTAAGGAACTATCAAGAATACTCTCAAGAATATTGACAGGGCAATATATAAAGAAAGACGAAACCCATTCCCTTCTAGCCCTGATGATGTTACCTATTTTGGTAATGAAATGTCTGCAAGAAAACCACCAAGCCCAGAGAGCACCAAGGACTCATAGTCCTCTTCTTCCTCCTCCTCCTTCTCCTCCTCCTCCTCCCTAATTCCTCCTAGTGCTGATAAAGTTACCTAGTTGAGTCATGAAATATCTGCAAGAAAACTACCAAGCTCAGGGAGCACCAAGGACCCCACAGTTCTCCTCCTGCTCCTCCTCCTCCTCCTGCTCCTCCTCCCCCCCTCCTCCTCCTCCCTAATTCCTCCTAGTGCTGATAAAGTTACCTAGTTGAGTCATGAAATATCTGCAAGAAAACTACCAAGCTCAGGGAGCACCAAGGACCCCACAGTTCTCCTCCTGCTCCTGCTCCTCCTCCTGCTCCTCCTCCCCCCCTCCTCCTCCTCCCTAATTCCTCCTAGTGCTGATAAAGTTACCTAGTTGAGTCATGAAACATCTGCAAGAAAACCACCAAGATCAGGGAGCACCAAGGACCTCTCCACCTAAACCTTGTAGTCTGGGAGGTTCCAGAAACAATTTCCTTTGACTTCTTGTTGGACTGTAATACAGGATCTTTTTCCCTCCTTCCATTCCAGAGCAACTCCAGATGTTTCAGCTGCAGCCGTCCAGAGACCCTCGGCACGTTTGCAGATCAGCGAAGCTGTGCAACTGACAGCCCGAGAGGTCGGCCCCGAATCCTCCGGGGAGGCCTCTCTCTCCCAGCATCCCCTGGCTTTCAACCTCACGGCTCCAAACAACACCAGCCTAGGAAGCTATTTATCGCAACACCCTCTGACTTTTTCAGCACCTGCGGAGCCAAAGGATTGGCCAGCGCTTCACGCTGACCTCAGTGCCAAAACCTCGGATCCCAAGGAGGAGAATTCACGGGTGCCGTGTCCACCGATGTGGCCAAACCAACCCGTGGCCACCCGGCATCTTCCGAACGAAAATTGGAGAGCTGCACCCAGCCAAGATTTGTTCCTTTTGGACAACAGCCTGCCAGCTCCTCTCCTCCTTGACTTACTGGAGGATGACATGGGTTTACCCAAGCACGATGGCTTCCTCTCTTCCGGAAGCTCGTCTTGTAAAAGTGGCTTGGGAAAGGATCCGGGAGAAAACGTAATTAACCGGCTAACGGTGAACGTGGACCTGTCGGAAAGCGCCCCCAAATTGATGCTAGAACAGCGCCAGTCGAAAGGCCAAACCACCCCTCCACCGGAGTCACCCCGACCACTTTCGGATGCGGCAGGGAAGCCCTGGAGACGGGCCAGCGACCCAGAAACTTTCTCGGCAAACCTTTCTCCGGCCTTGATGTCCTCCAGAGCTCGTAAGCTTAGTTCGATGGATTCTTCCATGATTCCCGAGAGTCCTCCGACCCCGAATCGTCAGCACGCGGGCGAGAAATTTCAAAGCGGGGCCGAAGAAGACCAACGAAAATTTACGCCGGCTCCGGTCGATAGTAAACCTCGTGCTTCGGCCTCCTTCCAGCCAATCCCGGTGGCCGCAGACGTCGGCGAGCGGACGGAGGCCTTGAAAGCCATCCTGGCCAGCGTGAGCAAAAACGAACTAACGCTCTCTGACGGGAGCGTAGAGAGGGAGCCCAGAAATACTGGAATCTCTCCTTTTGACGAGGCGTCCTTCTCTGTACACCTGGCTCACCCAATCCATCATTCCACCCCCGGGTTTTGGACAACCAGAAGCTTGAACCGCGAAGGGCCCGGCCCGGCGTTGCCGTCCCGATCAGGGCTTCAGCGTCCTCTTTCTTGCTTGCACGAAGAGATGTCAAAGACCCCGCACGCTGATGCGCGCAATTCTTCGGCAGTGGAGCCTCGTGGAAACCCCTGCCCCTTTCCCACGAAAGAGAGTTTTACGTCGCACGGCACCCCAGGTTTTCAAAATGACCAGTTCTGCAACAGTTCTGCCGTTCTGCAGCCTCTGAAAGGCCGGATTCAGTCCATGCCTTCTCTGAATTTTATGGAGAAGGTCGGAGCGTGGCACCTGAGCTATTCGGCTGAGAAGCTGCCTGAAGTGTCAGCAGTTCCCAGTTCGGGTACACCCGTACCTGGTCCCAGTGGCGTCTCCCCCAGGCAGAAGGCCTACGATGCGATCGCCGATTCCTTGAACCGCATCCTGCTCAAGCAGCAGAGTCTAGCTGACCTCAAGGCTGCCCCTTTTTACGGGCCGAGCTCCATGACCGATCTTCACAGCTCCCAGAACGAGCCTCCTCCGCGCGCGTTGCCCTTTACCCGGTCGCAGTCGGAAACCTCGGTGAGCGCCCTCAGCCGAGAGATTTCGAGGACAGATATAGGGAATGAAACCAGATCTGACGACACTCATCGACGAGCCGACGTCCACGCCGACCCTTCGACGGCCTCTCGGATCAAACCGACGATTGCAGCTGAGGAAGACTCACTTTCCCGACGGTACAAAGCCCTTCCCGTCTTCATTACAGTCTCCAGCGACGAGGAAAGTGTTAGTACGGGGAGACCTTCGGAGCCCCTCATCAAAAGCAGAAGGGTGGCCGAGCTCCTGCGAGGAGAAACCAGCTCATTCGATGGGAGCAAAGAAGAATTGGGTGGCCCCGAAGAGAAGACGAGAGAATTGTTGGGCTGCGGGTTTCAGGCCGGTCAAATGAGGATGGATTATTTTAGAGATCTTTCCCCGGATCATTTCAACCAAGGGACCGATTCCGGAACGGACAGCTGTACGGATGTGAGGCTGTCTTCCAGACAGTCTTCCAGATCTTCTCCGGCTTTGAGCAAGTTGCACAGCAGTTTGGAAGATGAACTGCAAACTTCCAATCACAGCGAGCTCAATATTGATGAGAGAATACCGGTAAGGTCCATCGTGGTCTTCTTTTTCTTCTTCTTTTATTCTTTAAGGGCTAAGGTGGGACTAGAACTCACTGTCTCCTGGTAATTGGCCCAAAATCACCCAGTTGACTTTCATGCCTAAGGCGGGACTAGAACTCACCGTCTCCTAGTGATTGGCCCAAAACAACCCAGTTGGCTTTCATGCCTAAGGCGGGACTAGAACTCACCGTCTCCTGGTAATTGGCCCAAAACCACCCAGTTGACTTTCATGTCTAAGGCGGGACTAGAACTCACCGTCTCCTAGTGATTGGCCCAAAACAACCCAGTTGGCTTTCATGCCTAAGGCGGGACTAGAACTCACCATCTCCTGGTGATTGGCCCAAAATCACCCAGTTGGCTTTCATGCCTAAGGCGGGACTAGAACTCACCGTCTCCTAGTGATTGGCCCAAAACAACCCAGTTGGCTTTCATGCCTAAGGCGGGACTAGAACTCACCGTCTCCTGGTAATTGGCCCAAAACCACCCAGTTGACTTTCATGTCTAAGGCGGGACTAGAACTCACCGTCTCCTAGTGATTGGCCCAAAACAACCCAGTTGGCTTTCATGCCTAAGGCGGGACTAGAACTCACCATCTCCTGGTGATTGGCCCAAAATCACCCAGTTGGCTTTCATGCCTAAGGCGGGACTAGAACTCACCGTCTCCTAGTGATTGGCCCAAAACAACCTAGTTGGCTTTCATGCCTAAGGTGGGACTAGAACTCACCGTCTCCTGGTAATTGGCCCAAAATCACCCAGTTGACTTTCATGTCTAAGGCGGGACTAGAACTCACCATCTCCTGGTGATTGGCCCAAAGTCACTTAGCCAGCTGTCAATACTGTTGTAACGTTGAACAGTCACTAAACGAACAGTTGCAAGTCGAGGACTACCTATGTCCAGGGCTTTTGATGCCTCGAGAGGCCTCCGTTCGTATGAATATCTAAGACACAGAATCCTCAGAAATAAAATCCTCATTAGAGTGCATCAGTTCGCTTCTTCCGCACCTTCACGGCCTACCTGTCTCCCACTAGGTGTACCTCCACAACCTGGGCATCGACCAGTCGCCTTCTTCTATTCTGACCCCCTTTATGCCTCGGGGACCCATTCGAGAGATTGAATTCTCTCCGACTGAGCTCCGAACGTTGAAAGCCTCGTCTGACTTATTCTGCCTGCACCTCTCGGAAGGTACGGTGGGGAAGCTGTCTTGGGCGTCACCGGAGGGGATTTGGTTGATCTGGCAGCCATTAGGCGGGTGGGTGGGTTGAGTTGGGCACCCATACAATTGAACGAATGGAAGAATGAATGAATACTTTCCATCTTTGTACATATAAGATAACACTTTTTCTGTGTACATACTGGTACACATTAAAAATGAAATTCCGAAAGACTATCTGTGTGTGTATAATATATGTGTATGTGTGTATATAGAATATATATGTGTGTGTATATATATATGTATGTATGCATGTATATATATATGTTTTCGTAGATTTTCATGGGTAGAGGTATGCAAGTTTTGGTGTATTCGGGTCTTTTCCTGTGTAAGATTGAAACTCTCAATCTTACACAGGAAAAGACCCGAATACACCAAAACTTGCATATATATATACATACACACACACCAGTGGTGAAATCTGAACCAGTTTAGTACCGATTCGCTGGCTGCACATGCGCACCATGTGCCAAACAAGCGCTGCGCATTATCCGTGCGCACCACACACCAAATGCAAGGTGCGCGTGTACGCGCAGTGCATGCCAAAAGGAGGCATGGGGTAAGTAGAAAAGCATGCGGGGGTGTGTGGTGTCGCCGGAGAACCGGTAGTAAAAAATGCTTAAAAAGTTAAAAAAAAAAAAAAGGTTCCGACGATCGCGTGTCACTCAGCTGATCATTGGAACTTTTTTTTTTTTTTTTACATTTTTTACTACTGGTTCGGACGAACCAGACCGAACCGGTAGCATTTCACCCCTGATACACACATACCCACACACACACACCCATATACAAGTGCTATATATTACATGCATACATACATGAATACATACGTATATACAGTACATTACATATATTACATAGATAGTGTCAAGTTTCGAGGCCGTCCCAAATAAATTGCATTTCAAACAAAGTCTTTGAAGAAAAACTATTTATTAACCACGGCATTCTAAACCTGACTACAATCGAAGCCAACACTGACTTCCAGCCCCAAAACCCTCCCTTTCCATTCCCCACTCCCCTGCACTCATTGGCCATCTTCCAAGTCATTCTACCCCTAATCTACTGCTCCAGCTCAAAGGAATTTCCCCCCTCCCATCCCATCTCCTAGGGGATATTATCTCCAGGGAAAATAAGTAGGTGAAAAGTCAAACGTCCCTTTCCAGATGCCTTCGCTTCTCCTTCTTATGTCAGCACTAGAGTAAATGCAAGTTGAAGTGCTGACAGATAGATAGATAGATAGAGAGAGGGGAGAGAGAGAGAGAGAGAGAGAGAGAGAGAGAGAGAGAGAGAGAGAGAGAGAATATATTACAGATGTAAAAAGATTTTCTCGGGTGTTTTCCGCGTCATTAAAAGTCTGTTAGTTGGAATGCTTAAAATCCTGGCTAAAATCCCAACTTAAGATCCTCCAAAATCCGAACAAAACACTTTGTAAGTCTTTTGAAACTGGCTAAAATCCTAACCAACACTTTAAAAAAAAATTTGGGGGCAATGTTTTGACAAGCTCTCGTAACTTGTCAGAGCTGTGGGTCCACAGCTTCTAAACTGAAAGTAGGGGCCCGATGATGACAAGTTAGAGAGCTACATATATATGTATTTGCTTTCTTCTCTTGTCGTAGGTTTTTGTGTGTATATTTTCCTTCAGCCGGGTATTTTCCTACGTAAACCAAGTTTCTCAACTTGCAGCCATAGCTCAGTGAAATCACATCCACTATCCTGCAAGGTGAGAAACTTGGTTTACGTAGGAAAATACCCGGCTGAAGAAAAATATACACACAAAAACCTACGACAAGAGAAGAAAGCAAATACTTAGCCTCTTCAGAGAGGGAACATATGGTAAGGGTGTGGCTAACTGATGAGGACCAATCAGTCCGAAATAGATCTATATTAGTCTCCCAATAGGCAACAAAATGCTTGCTTGCTGTCTGAAGAAGCCTAGGATAGTGGATGTGATTTCACTGAAAGTTGGGAAACTTGGTTTACGTAGGAAAATACCCGGCTGAAGAAAAATATACACACGTGTGTGTGTGTGTGTGTGTGTGTGTGTGTGTGTGTGTGTGTATGTATGTACACACACATACATATTAATCACAGTCCATTTTGAATACATAGCAGAAAAAAGTTGAAAGTGAATAAGGTTAATTCTATGTTCTGTATGCTACTATATACTATGTTTTATGTACTATACGTTATATACTATATATACTATATTCTATAAACTATACTATATACTAAGTTTCTCATCGCTGTTAACATGTAACAGGTAGTCCTCGACTTACGACCACAGTTGAGCCCCAGATTTCTGTCACTAACCGAGACAGTGATTAAGTGAGTTTTGCCTTATTGTATGACCTTTCCTGCCACCGTTGTTAAGCGAATCACTGCCATTGTCAAATTAGTAACCCGGTTGTTAAGTGAATCTGCCTTCCCCTTTGATTTTACTCGTCAGATGGTCGCAAAAAGTTATCGCGTGACCCTGGGGCACTGTGACGGTCATAAATATGAGTCAGTTTGTGCAACCGTCTGAAATTTGATCTCCTGACCATAAGGATGCTACAACGGTCGTAAGTGTGAAAAGCTTTTTCCTGTGCCGTTGTAACTTCAAACTGCCCTTAAATGAAATGGTTGTAAGTCAAGGACTCCCTTTGACAACAGTTGATCTTCATGTGTGGATGGTTATCCGATATGTTTGAAGCGATTTCTTCTTGTCGAATCACTATCGGCAACCTCCTGTGTTTGTTTCGTTGTCTGACAGTGACTTTTTACAGGAATCGACCCTAAGCAGGCAATCTGACATCCTTTCATTTTCTTTCCAAAGACTCCCAATCTGCCACGCCGTCGACCTTAAACTCTTCGCTGCTCAGTGGATCCACGCTGGCAGGATCGGCGGTGGTCTCGGACACGTCGCAACCCGCCAAGCGTTCTCCGCCACACGCCAGAGGTCTCCTCCAGCCGAGCAGCTCTCCCTGGAAACCTCATGCCGTCACACCGCCTCTTGCCGCCTCTGTTCCCGAGTGCCCATCTGCTCTCGTTTCAACCGAAGAGACTCAAGTCGTCCAAGGATCTCCCTCCAACTTAGCCGAGCAAAGATCTACCATACATGTGGTGTCGCCGGAGGACAATTTAGACCCAAACCAACTCGGCGCGAGTCGAGTAAAATCCGGCTCTTCGTCTCAGGACAATGATGAAAAGCCTGCAGGCGAAGAAGTCCAATCTTCCAGCGCGATTCCTGGTGGAGAAAGAGAGGATTCCTTCACAGGGTCAAACGCTCCAAAAGAGAGCCAGAAGCTTCCAGCAGAGGTAGACCTCAAACCTTCAAGCGAAAAATTCAGATCTCGTTTATCCCTCTCTTCTTCCGGCTCGCTAAAACAGATCGATCGCAGCGATTTATCCGGAGGTCCCGGATCCATCGAGAGAAGCACGCTAGGGATTCAAAGAGGTTGGTCATGGGATGAGAGCATGGCCAAGCAGGAGATCAGTGGTAGCTTAAAATGGGAAGTTCTGCAAATGGTGGACTTATTCAACAAGGAGCCAGTGGTACCTCAAGAACTCAGGTCGGGATCCCGGAAAGCGAACGAAGACCGTGAGATGACCAAACCCATCACGCGGTCAGATCCGGAAGGTTGCACCAGGACGGCTGTGAACCAGAGTCTTCCCATTCCAACAGGCAGCTGTCCAGACATTCAAGCAAGCCCTTCTCCAAACCTCCAAGAGATCCAGTCCGTCTCCGATACGGACGACGTGGCTAAACTCTTGACAGGTTTTTCGCGCGTCGAGGAGAAAGTGAACGAAAGTCGTCCGAAAGAGATTGGCGGCTCGCAGGAAAGCGCCAACAGCAGCAGCACCGTGGACTCTCTGGGCATCAGAGTGAAGAAACTTCTCCAGTATGGATCTCCTGCGATCCACAGAGCGCCTCGGATGGAGGTGGCGGAGGAACGCGATGGGTCAGGCCCGAAAGAGCCCTCCGTTTCGTCCACGGGCTCAGCATTGGGCAGAGGGGAAGTGGGTCCCCAAGAAAGCGATAACGGCAGCAGTATGGACTCGTTGGCGGTACGGGTCCAAACCCTCCTGGAAGAGGAACAACCTGTGCTGCATGCATCTCAGATACTCCGCAGCGTAGAGGAGGAAGAAGAAAAAGCTCGCGGTAAGGAACAGCCACATTGTGTGATTTATTAATTGGTTACCTTTTATATGCCGCATTTTTATTTATTGTATCCTACCTTTATTTATTTATTTTTACACACATCTCAAGGCGGTGAACATATCCAGCTCGCCTTCCTCCTCCTATTTTCCCTACAACAACAACCTCTTAAGGTAGGTTGGGCTCAGAGAGAGAAAGAAAGAGAGACTGGCCCAAAGTCACCCAGTTGGTTTGCATGCCTGGGTTGGGACTAGAACTCGCCATCTCCTGGCGTCTGGGCCAAAGTCACCCAGTTTCTTGCCTAAGGTGGAGCTAGAACTCTCAGCCTCCTGGGGATTGACTGAAAGTCACCCAATCAGCTTTTGTGCCTAGAACTAGAACTTATTGTCTCTTAGTGATTGGCTGAAAGTCGCCCACCAGCTTTCATGGCTAAGGCGGGACTAGAACTCACAGTCTCCTGGTGATTGTCCCAAAGTCACACAGCCATTTTTTCATGGCTAAAGCACAACTAGAACTCACTGTCTCCTGGCAATCGACCCAAAGTCACCTAGCCGGTAGGACTGGAACTCAGAGCCTTAGTATTCCTTGAAGATGTTTAATTGGGTCCAACCTGACCATGCCAGATTGTCCTTCCTTCCTTCCTTCCTTCCTTCCTTCCTTCCTTCCTTCCTTCCTTCCTTCCTTCCTTCTTTCTTTCTTTCTTTCTTTCTTTCTTTCTTTCTTTCTTTCTTTTTCTTCCTTCCTCCTTCCTTCCTTCTTTCTTTCCTTCCTTCCTTCCTTCCTTCCTTCCTTCCTTCTTTCTTTCTTTCTTTCTTTCTTCCTTCCTTCCTTCCTTCCTTCCTTCCTTCCTTCCTTGCTTCCCTCCCTCTTTCTTCCTTCCTTCCTTCCTTCCTTCCTTGCTTCCCTCCTCTTTCTTGCTTCCTTCTTCCTTCCTTCCTTCCCTCCCTCCCTCCCTCCCTCCCTCCCTCCCTCCCTCCCTCCCTCCTTCCTTCCTTCCTCCCTTCCTTCCTTCCTTCCTTCCTTCCTTCTTTCTTTCTTTCTTTTTCTTCTTTCTTTCTTTCTTTCTTTCTTCTTTTAAATTGATTTTGGAAACGAAGGAGAGAGAGGATTTTCCAAGACTTGTTTGCTGCTAAGGAAACACATTTGCTCCCATGTCACACGGGAGTTGCCACTTCAGAGAATTATATAATTGATATTTTCCGTAATTAGTAATCAGTTTGCAAAACACAACTGATTTCCTAAGAGCAAACCAGCTACAGCCGTTCCTGTTACAGGGAGTCCTCGACTTACGGCCACAGTTGTGGCCAAAATTTCTTATTGCCAAGCGAGACAGAGGTGAGGTGAGTTTTGACCCATGTTGCAAACCTTGCTTCCCACAGTCGTTAAATGAACCTCTGCCGTTTGTAAAGTGAGTAACAGGGCTGTTCAGTGAATGCGGCTTCCCGGTTCACTTGGCTTGTCAGACAGTCGCCAAAGGGGACGCTGTGACCATCATAAATATGAGTTATTTGACAAAAACATCTGAATTTTTATCGTGTGACTGCGGGGATGCCGCAATGGAGGTCAGTGGCAAACCTCACTCAGCAACCGAAGTGCTCATCCCAGTTGTGGTGTTAAGTCGAGGACTACCTATAACAAAACAAGGCACATATTTGTGGATGGCGAGAATTTCAAAAAAAAAAAGAGGGAGGGGCTATAAAATCTTATGCAAAATGCCTTTATTTATTTATTGTATTTATTTTTATTGGTTCGATTTATATGCCGCCCTTCTCCGGAGACTCAGGGCAGCTCACAATGGTTTTTAACCATTGCCTTCATACTTTTGTATATACCTGTTTAGTAGGGCTTTCGCCCCCCCACAAGTGATGTTCTTTTTTATACAAAGTCAGCTTATTGCCCCCACAATCCGGGTCCTCATTTTACCTACCTTAGAAAGGATGGAAGGCTGAGTCAACCTTGAGCCTGGTGAGATTTGAACTTGCAGTAATTGCAGGCAGCTGGTCTTAATAACAGGGTGCTTTAGACCACTGTACTACCAAGGCTCCTTCTTTAATGGAAGACCTATTATGACATGGGAAGGAAAAACATTTTTGGAACGAACAATATTGGGGTGGGGGGGGGAATCTAAAACTGAAAGCAGTCAAAACTTAGAAATTTATTTTTCTCTCCCTCTCTCTTTTCTTCTCCCCTCTGCCTCCCCATCTCTTCCTTTCCCTTCATTCTTCTCCCTCTCTTTCCCTTTCCTTCCCTCCTTCTCTTTCTCTCCCTCTGCCTCCCCATCTCTTCCTTTCCCTTCCTCTCTCTCTCCCTCTCTTTCCCTCTCTGTCCTTCTGTCTCTCCATCTCCATCTCTTCTTTTCCCTTCATCCCTCTCCCTCTTTCTCTCCCTTCTCTCCTTCTCTTTCTCTCCCTCTGCCTCTCCAACCCTTCCTTTCTCTCCATCTCTTTCCCTCTGCCTCTCTCCCTCCTTCTCCCCCTCTTGCTCTCTCCATTTCTTCCTTTCCCTTTTTCTCTCCCTCTTTTCTCCTTCTGCTTCTCTCTCAATCCCCCTCTCTCTCCTCCCTCTTTCCCTCTCTCCCCCTCTCTCTTTCCCTTCCTTTCTCTTCTTCCTTCTCCCTCTCCGTGTCCTCCTTTCCCTTCTTCTCTTTCCCTCCCTCTCCCTCTGTCCCTCTGTCTTTCCATCCCTCTCTTTCTCTCTCCTCTCTCTCTCGCCCCCCCCTTTCCCTTTCTCTCCCTCCCTCCACCCTTCTCCCTCTCACAGCCTGGGTGAAACTAAAACTGGCTACTGAACCTCAGTATTTCATTCCCGAATTGACCGAAGAAGACCGGCGGATGATAGAACGGATGAAGAGGGAGCAGCTTTCATCTTCTGGACAAACGGAACATCTGGAGGTAAAACCCAAAACTGGGGTGGGGGGTGAGTGGGGGGGGGACAATTAAAGAAGCATTGAGAACTGGACTAATAATAGGTTTTTGCTTGCAGGAACCTTTTCCCATCAGCAATTTTCTAAGTAATGAAAGGGGGGAAAAGTACATATGTTTTTCCAATCACGTGGCTCTCATTCAGATGACATTTCCGTCTAAATAAGTATTGTAAAGTTCCGCTTAAAGACGTCGTATAATTCATAGCGTCTCTTCTGATGTTGCTCTTGTCTGTTTCCAGCCTAAGCTCAGGACGGCTGCGACGCTTGGGCTGGCCCCGGGGTGAGCTTCCTGGCGTGGTTTTCCGGCGTGTTTTGAAGCAGGCACACGAATGCCTCCCTGCTTGCTTGCTTGCTTGCTTGCTTGCTTTGTCTTTAAACTGCTAGCCAAAATTCCCTGTCGTAGGAGGGGGCTGTATCCAGCATGGGAACCTCTGCATGCTTCTGAAGAGGGGCTTTCGGGCTCTTTGACTGACAGCTGTCCAACCTTTTTCTTTGATTGATGTGGTTCTCACTTTTCTTTGTGAAAGCGAGTGGAGGCAATATTGATTACTTTTGTACCCTTCCTTCCTTCCTTCCTTCCTTACATACATACATCTCCTTCCTTCCTCTCCTTCCTTCCCTCCTTCCTTACATACATACATACATACATACATACATCTCCTTCCTTCCTCTCCTTCCTTCCTTCCTTCCTTCTTTTTTCCTTCCTTCCTTCTTTTTTCCTTCTTTCTTTCTCTCCTTCCTTCCTTCCTTCCATCTCCTCCCTCCCTTCCTTCTCTCCTTCCATCTCAGTGCTTCCTTCCATCCATCCATCCTTCCATCCATCTCCTCCCTCCCTCCCTCCTTTCCTTTTATACATACATCTCCTTCCTTCCTTCCTTCATCTTTCTTTTTTTCTTTCTTTCTTTCTTTCTTTCTTTCTTTCTTTCTTTCTTTCTTTCTCTCCTTCCTTCCTTCCTTCCCTCCCTTCTCTCCTTCCATCTCAATGCTTCCTTCTTTCCTTCCATCCATCCATCCACTCCCTCCCTCCCTCCTTTCCTTTCCCTTCCTTCCTTCCTTCCTTCCTTCCTTCCTTCCTTCCTTCCTTTTCTACAACCGCCCATCTCAGTCAATGACTGTGGGCAACTTACAATTCACACACACACACACACACACACACACACCACAATTAAAATGCTAAACACATTTTAAAAGAATAAATTGACTAGAACATTCCAAATTAAATATCCATAGCAGTGGGAGACTTGGCCAATGTAGTCCTCAACCACATGCTCAAAATTCAGAGGCTTGGCAGCTGGTTCCTCTTTATGACCGTGGCCGGGTCCCAGGGTCATGGGATCCTCTTTTACTACCTCCTGACAAACAAAGTCAGTGGGGAAGTCAGATCCACTTAACGACCGTGTTGCTAATTTAACCGCAACGATTCACTTAACAACCATGGCCAGGAAGGTCGTAAAATGGAGCAAAACTCACTTGGCAACCGTTTCACTTAGCAACATAAATTTTGGGCTCAACTGTGGTCGTAAGTCAAGGATTACCTATACAGCCAGGAAATGGGCCGTTAACACATTCAGCAGCCCAGATACAGAAGGTAGCCAGGTTTTTACGCCTTATGAAAGGCTAATGGGCATTACCTCTGGCTCCTATTAAAGCTGAATATTAAAATTCAGAAAAACGAAGGTTGTTTTTTTTAAATCTAGTTTTCTGCTGGATACTTGTTTCTCTGCTCTCAGTTCACCTCTGACCTTGTCACGGACATTTTCTGTTATTAAGAAGTCCTTTATATTGAAAGAAATAACTCCCACGGGGTGACAATGGGCTCCTGTATTGTTTAGATGGGCCATTCAGAAAGGAAATGAAATCCCGGCCATACCAGCGTTGCTGGAAGCTTTCTGATTTAGATCAGAATTTTCCTGCCTGTGTAAAATTCGCAGGCACAGATCTGTTTCTCCAAAGAAATGTAATAATCCCTTCTTGATCGACGGAGATTCAAAGCTGTTTGCATGGAGGTCTTTCCTTTCCTTGGCTCCGTAGAGAAAGAACCTCATTGGAGCTTCTGACACTTATTTTGATCTCTGGTTTTATAGGCGCAGGTCGGATGCTAGAATCGTTTGTATCAGTTCCTGCCCTTGCAAACATTCAGTAAAAGGTTATTTGGTAACAACCAGTCCTGATACCATCTTGCATGTGTCACCTCCACGGGGGAAAAAAACTTCCAAAAGAAATGTCGCCTCTTCCTTTCTCCCCCAAATTACATTTGAAAGGTCCTTTTTCATAAGACAACTGCATCTTTCCCATTAATATTAATGGAAATGTTAATATTTTAGATAGGTAGGTGGATGGACAGACGGACAGATAGAAACTAGAATGATAGATTGATAGGAGATAAATAGATAGAGATTGCGATAGATATTAAGCTGGATGGATGGATGGATGGGTAAACAGACAGATAGGAAATAGAATGATAGAATGATAGATAGATAGATAGATAGATAGATAGATAGATAGATAGATAAGATCAATAGATGGGATAGATAGAGAAACAGGAAGGAAGGAATGAGATGGATGGATGGATAGATAGATAGATAGATAGATAGATAGATAGATAGATAGACAGGAAGATAGACAGGAAGATAGATAGATGATGATGATGATGATAGATAGATAGATAGATAGATAGATAGATAGATAGATATTGAGATAGATATCAAACTGGATGGATGGATGGGCGGGCAGTCAGATAGGAAATAGAAAGAAAGAAATATAGAAAGAAAGTAGGTAGATATAGATGATAAAAATAGGTATAGATAAATGAGATCGATAGATGAGATAGATAGATAGATAGATAGATAGATAGATAGATAGATAGATAGATAGAAGGGAAGGAGGGGGGTATCTATTGCGTGGAACCTTATTACTTAAGTGATCAGTAGAGGAGATGGGCAGAAGTGCACTAATGTGCCTATTGTCATTGTATTTGTCTTTTATTCTTTTTCTTGTTTTTGTTTGACAAATTCTAATAGATCGATCGATAGAATCTTTAGCGTTAGGGCTGCAGAGAGAAATTGGGTGCCTTGGTCTCCCGAGCTCACTTCCCGCTAAGAAAAATGTCGAACCCAATCAAAAGGTTTAATAACAACACCTCAACATCTTTATTTATTATCAGCGTTGGCAGGTGAATTAAACCAGCTTTCCGGGCATGACTCACACCAGGGCCCCTCTCCTGGCATGCAAGGTGTAAAGAAATCATTCCAATTGTGCAGCCCTAGCCTTGTGTGTTTTCTCCCGGGAAACCTGCCAAGCCCAGTTGCCTTCCAGTCTTCAGTTCACATAATTGTTCTATTTTGTAGCATCCTTTGTGACTGCTTTGTTTTTCCTTCGCATCTCACGGACTTTTTTTTTTTTTTTTAATCTTTACGCATCTGATGTGTGTTAATCACTTGGCGGTTATACTATTCTTTTTGGAAAGCAAGCAACCATTGGAAACCTTTGGTTTATTTTATTTTGTTTTAAATATGGCACCTAACTGGTGAGAATTAAAACGAAATACCTAGCCACGTCTGTTTTATGCAGCTCTTCACAATCTTTTCAGCTTAATTTTTGTTTCTTTTTTTGTTGGTTTTGCGCCCTGATGGCATCTTTTCACAATTCTGTCCCCAGAAAGGAAATTGAATCTACCACCGATTCCCAGAAGATAAATATCTACTTCTACAAGTCCTTAAGATTTCTGGAGAGGATTTAAATTGGGATGCTTTATATCGTCATTAATATTTATTTAATCTGTATCTTGCCTTTATTATTTTTTACAAATAACTCAAGGCGGCAAATATGCAACATACCTTCCTTTACCTCCTCCTATTTTCCCTCAAAACAACAACCCTGTGAGGTGGGCTAGGCAGAGCGAGAATGATCGGTCCAAAATCATGCAGCTAGCTTTCATGCCTAAAGTGGGACTAGAACTCACCATCTCCTGATGATTGGCCCAAAGTCACTCAGTTGGCTTTCATGCGTAAGGCAGGACTAGAACTCTCGGTCTTCTGGTGATTGGTCCAAAGTCACCCAGCTGTCTTTCATGCCTAAGGCGGGACTAGAACTCGCCATCTCCTGGTAATTGGCCCAAAGTCTCTTGCTTTCTAGCCCGGTGCCTTTACCACAAAGTTGCTCACAATGTCCCCAAAATCTCTACTTCTCTGAGAATTTGGGGGTAAATGAAAAATTCAAGTCACCCCCCCCTTCATTTTACTTTACTTACTTTACTTTTATTTGATTTATATACCGCCCTACTCCCGAAGGACTCAGGGCGGTATTTTGCCAGATAGGCATTAAAAACTCCTATTTAAACGCAACATACTCTGGTGTTTTTATCTGCACGTTGTGAATCTCTTCCTTTTTGAATTCTGAATTAGAACCAGCAGTGGAGAAGCAGCGTCCAGAGACTTCCAAACTCCAACCCGGCTGCAACAGTAGAAGCGGGCTCCTTGCCAAACCCAAGAGACCACAACCTGCAAACAGCCCTTCAGAAATATGGTTTGCAGCTAGCCAAGTTCTCCGGGGAAAATGCAGCACCTGCGACGGATGGCACCTTAACAGCCGAGCCAGAGGTTAAACTCTCTCGCAGTGCCCAGATTCCTGACTCCGGCCAACTGCAGCCACTTCCCGGTAATGCCTTGGACTCCAAAGCCAGTTCTCACCTTCCCTTGGACACACATCTCCAAAGCGCCTCAAAGGACCCCGCGAAAGAGGACGGGAACGTAGCAGCCCCGCTGGAGGTCTCCGAGAGCGCCACGTCCGTCGAAACTGCCATTCAAATCACCTCGATCACTTTCGCCTCTCGGAGACGGTCACCTTCTCCCGCTTCCCGCGTCCCCCGGACCCTCCTTGCTGACATTCATTCTCGTGATCCCATATCTCCGGAAATCCGGCCTGCGAACCAGGAACGGCCGCAGTTGGATAACTCACAGCGGCAAAGTTACCAAGCTCGCCCTTCTGTCGCCGTTGCTTCTGCTCGCACTTCCGAGGAGAAAGTTGCATCTCCATCTCCAAAAGTCTGTCCTCCTCCCCCCGGGTCTATCAAGGTGGCCAGGGATGACCCTCGCCGAGAAGATCTGGGCCCTTCCCTGGAGGAATCCCCGAGAAGAGATGTCGAACCGAAGAACCTCGTTCATGAGGACAAGCAAGCTTCGGATCCAGCTCTCGCCGAGCAGAGGCGATACGCAAAAACGCTGGATGATATTTACACATTCAACCCGGAAAGTTCGGCGGCGTTGCCTCCGCCAAAGACAGGCGATGTGCGTCCCCAGAATTGCTCGGCAGCTGAGGCCGGAAGTGCTCCGAAGCCCCTTTTTCCTGAAGGCAAAGAAAAGACGTGGAAAAGAGAAGAATTGCCTACTTCTGATTCCTATTTACACAAGCCCTCGGCTTCCCTAGATTGTATTTCCACAGCCGTGCCAGTGTCGCCTACGTCGCCCACCAGGAAAGCCCTGTCTGGTGTCCACCTGACCCTCTCTCCAAAGCGAGTGGAATTGGACCTTTTGGGACCGGTGGACGTTGGTCCAGAAGGGAGAGAGGTCGTGGTTCTGAAGCCAACCGCTTCCGAGGTTCCCAGTCGGTCCTTAGAAGCTACCTCCAAGCCCACAGAATCTAAGCGAAAGTCTCCAGGATCCTCATACTTCCCCCGAGAGGCATCATCTCGAGATGTTCCAAAGGGGGATAAACCAGCCCTACAGCACGCTCAAGAGCCCCGGCCAAGCCGAGATCGTGTAGCAGCAGACGCCGGGACTCTGACTTCAAGGGCAAAGGACAACTTGAAGACGACGGCTTCTTCCCAAACGGAATGGATGTCTTCAGATGCCATCACTCAAATCACAACAGAAAGCCCTGAGAAGACCACCTATTCTGCCGAAATCTTTGTCACTGCTGAGAACGGGGAAGCTCCTTATCCCAAGAGTCACAAAACCCCCAACGACACAATGCTCGGTATCTCCAAGATCTCAGTTCTGGACAGACCAACCCGAGGTGAGAAATGCTTCTCTCTCTCCCCCTCTCCTTCCCTCCCTCCCTCCCTCTCCCCCCCTCTCTCTCCTATCTGTCTATCATCTACTTACCTATCTATGTATCATCTATCCAATCTATCATCTATCTACTATCTCTCTCTCTATCATCTGTCAGTCCATCCATCCATCTCTCTCTCTCTCATCTATCTATCTATCTATCTATCCTCTCTCTCTCCCGACAAGCCAAGTCAAGGTGGAAGCCAGTTCCATTTAACAACCATGTTATTAACAACTGCGGTGATTCACTTAACAACTGGCAAGAAAGGCCGTACAGTGGAGACAACATTCCCTTAACCAATACCCCTTCCTGGGGATTGCAGCCCACAGCCCCCTATTTGTGTCAGCTTCTGCCTTTTGAGTCATTCAACCTCTGCCTGCCTAGGAAAGCTCATTCTGGCTTCCTTGCTTAAAGCATCAACGGATAAAGTCCGCAGCCCCGACGGTGTCTTTGGCTCAGAGGTTGTTGATTGGTGTCGATTGCTAGCAAGGAGCCGTTACGGGTTTTTTCTTTCCTTTTTTGGCTGTTGCCTTGTCTCTTTCGAGTGGTATCAGAGTTTCTTACAAAAATCAAATCCAGAAGCACACACAAATAACTGATTCGGCTGGATTCATTAATTTCTCTTTATATACACAATAATACAGGAAGATAAATGTACACTACCAATATAGATTCTTCTTTCAACGTGGCAGAAGTTACAGGCAGAGCACAAGGCAGGGGAGAACAGTTAGTTTCATTTCAGCAGAGCAGACTAGTTTCATTTTAGATCTGAGCACAGAGCAGGCAAGCAAGTCCAGACTTGTTTAGTTTCAGTTTCAATTCTCTGCACAGACTCAGAAGCTGCAGACTAAGACGCGCCCTGGCTCCAGTCTGCCTCAGCTCCCAATTGGCTGACTTAGTTGCTATGCCTATTCATTGGCTGACCTTGTTACCACGTCTCTGCCAGTTTATGAATAATCTGACAAGTGGTACGTCAGTGTTGTTGATCTCGCTGTGCCTGTCGACGGCCGCTTGCCAGCCCTCCGGGAAAAACACTCTGCTTTGCAGCCTCTTACAGTAATCTGACTCCGTCTTTTCTTTCTTCAGGCCGGCCATTGGTCCTGCCCTACAAACCTCCCGGCTGCTCGGAGGTGTATTACGTTCCCTGTGGAAAAGAAACCTTGAGAATCTCACGTGTCCGGTCTGAGACCACTGTGGAGAGCTCCCATTCAGGTAGGTCGCCTTCCGTTGACTTCCAAGCCTCCCTCGATCTCTTGCATTTTATGTCGATTTCTAAAACTAGGCAGCGGGGTTTGAAGAAACGGAGGCCTCGTTTTGGATGGATCCGCTGAACAGATGGGAGGTAATCTATACCCCTGTTGCATTTAGGTTAGAATGACAATGTGGTTAATATGTGAGTATTTCCGGAGCTAGTCTAGAGAAAAGAAGGACTAGAGGGGACATGATAGCAATCTTCCAGTATTTGAGTGGCTGCCACAAAGAAGAAGGGGTCAAATTATTCTCAAAAGCTCCTGAAAGCAGGACAAGAAACAATGGATGGAAACTAATCAAGGAGAGAAGCAACCTGGAACTAAGGAGAAACGTCCTAACAGTAAGGACAGTTAACCAGTGGAACAGCTTGCCACCAGAGGTTGTGGGTGCTTCATCACTGGAGGCTTTTAAGAAGAGACTAGACAGTCATTTGTCTGGAGTGGTAGAGGGTCTCCTGCTTGAGCAGGGGGCTGGACTAGAAGACCTCCAAGGTCCCTTCCAGCTCTATTTTGATTGGGGGGGGGAGGAAAGAAAGCCAGTCTCCATTTTTCTAGCCATCCTGCCATTGAATTGTTTGATTTCCCTGCTTTTCCTAAAATGCCCGTCTCTTCCAAATCTGCTTTCTTCCTTCTTCAGCTTCACAGTTTCCCACCCCCCTCTTTTGAACAGAAGCGAATTAAAACCTAGATTAAAATGGTTACTATTTAATTCCGCCTAAGTTTGAACAAGGGCTTAGCCAACCAGGCCTCTGTACCTCTTCAGGGTCTCGTCGGTCTATTACAGGTCGTCCTCGACTTACAACAGTTCATTTCAACGGTGGCAAGAAAGGTGGTGAAACAGGATAGTGGAGAATGGAAGGATTTCAAGATAGGAAATTGATTCCCAGAGGAAAAAATTGCAGACTACAGGAACCATTTGCACCAGTCTGGTGAGCCTGAGGACACAGATAAACCTCCTAGGGCTTCAAGGACCCTCTAAAAGGATGCAAATGACCAGCTGTGTTCTTGACCTAGGCTTCCTCAGAAAACATAAACCACAATCTTAGTCCTGCAAAACCTCTTTTATTTATACGGCTATAAATTACTTTCATTTATAGTCCGCAAGGCTTGATAAACAGTCTGTTCTGTCCCCGTACCACGCACACACCCAACCAGCCAGCCGAGGGTTAAATAACTCTTCAAACACTCAACGTCAGTGATAAGGAACTTGGCAGCAACTCCGTTCAACTCCTATTCAAACTCAGTTTGAATAGTCCAGTTTGTAATTAAATCCACAGCAAATAGGTGTTGTGTCCAAAGGTGCAAAGTGCCTCGCCAGAGATTAGCTTTGTCCGTCACAGAGTCCGAATGGCCACCACACTCCCTTTTATAGCCTGTGGGGTGTGGTCCAGTGACTCAGCTAATCTCTGGCACGCCTTCCCCTCTGCTGCGCACGCTTCTCCCTGCGCCTCTGGCGAGGGTCCAGCCAGCACTTATTTTCCTCGTCGCTGTCCACCTGTGGTTGCGGGGACGTGCTTGGCTCTGAGCCTATCGTTTGGCCTTCAGTGTCCTCCGGAGGCATTGCCAGAGAGGAGGGTCCTGGAGAGGGAGGCCTTGCCAACTCCTCTCCCTCACTCTCAGAGTCTGCATCTGTTGATTGCCCAGGCTCAGGCAACGGAGCCACAACACAGTCTTTTCAGAGGAAGGTTATCAACCCCCACCTATCTTATGTGGAACGCTGCCAGAAAACTAATTTCCAGACGCAGGGCAAGGGCAAACTTGGCACAGAGTCACAAACAAAACTTTCAAATCTTGAATCGGCCAGACGAACTAATTGCTTCCTGCAAAAGCTCACCTCCCGTTCGCTTCTCTTTTATGTCTTATGGGAGGGGCCAATCACCTCCAAGCCTTACTCCCAAGTCGACCCTCCTTCCTTAATTGTTCTTGTCGTCTGGCAGCTCTGCGCATGCGCGCACTGAGAACAGGCTCCCGCTGTTCTTCTGCCTCACTGCTGTCAGACTCCGAAGGCTGCACATAACTATCAGATGGCCCTGGCCCCCTTCTGCCTCCGATGCAGAGCCCTCGTCCAAGCTTTCCCCAGCCCCCAGGACTGGCCCACGTTCCTCCCCAACCTCCTCACTGTCCGACTCTGCTGCCAGCTCTGCTGGCCGCTGGCGGGCCACAACAAGCTGTCTGCAAGGAATATAAATCCTTCCATTCCCCACTATCCTGCCAGAGCTGAAGAAGCTTCTTGGACGAGAAGCGAAACGTCTTCAAAAGAAAAAAAACAAGACAGTCCAGTTGCCTCCTGGAAAAAAAAAAGCCAACATGACTTGGATGACTGAGAATCTCTACAGACTGGAAACCTCTTGAGACTCGAGCAGGACCTACAGCCCTCTATCCTTCTCTCTCTGCATTAATATTATTCCACATTAGGGCTGTTCTGCAGCCTTTTTTGGCAACTTAGGCTTTTTCTGCTCTGTGTCTAATCCGATTTACTGCCTTTTTTTCTCGGCCTCTCTCTTTTTCTGAACATTTGTCCCTGCGTCTTTCTTCCCAAATAGGCTCCAACGATGCCGTCCCTCCAGATTTCCCCCCGCAGGTACTGGGTTCGAGGAAGGATCATCCTTCAGACACAGCAATCGTCAAACACAAAGAGGGCATTTATAGTAAGAAGGCCGCCCCCAGAGTGGCCTGGATGGAGGAGAAAGCAGCGACGGCGGTCGGTCCCAGAGGTAATACGTTCCTGATGAGTTAGAGCAGGGGTGTCAAACTCGAAGTCATTGAGGGCTGCATCAGGGTCGAGTTTGACCTGGCCGGGGGGGGGGGCATGGCGGGGTGTGTGTGTCCACCTCAATATCACTCATGTCGGGGGCAACAGCCTCCTCCAGCGCTCTGCCAGCGAAAACGGAGCTTGGGAGGTCTGCGTGTGGTGTTCCTATTTCTGTTTCCTCTGGCAGAGCGCTGCAGGAGGCTGTCGCAGCCGAAAACGGAGCTTGGGAGAGCCGAATGCGGCCCTCCCGAGCTCCGTTTCCTCTGGCAGAGGCACCAAGGACCAGTCCCTCACTGTTTCCAGGGTCAGTTCTAAGCACCCTGCAGGCCAGATCCGACCTCCGGGCCTTGTTCTGCCCCAGCTACGGACCCCAAAGAATGCAGCACACACAAACTCTATACAAAGCTTATTTTACTCAAAATAACTTAGTCTTTATCATTCAAAGGCTGTTAATGAACTGTCTTAACAGCCTACCAGAATTCTAAGATAAGGTAATCACAGTCTTACTGGAGTTGGCAGAAAGCCCAGAAGCAATTTTGCAGAGAATCCAAATACGAAGGAGAGTGAACTAAAGTTGTTCCCTGCAAATTGCCTCAGTCATCATCCTTCCTTAAATAGGCTAAGGGAGTGGCCAGTTAGCCCCAAGCCTTACTCTTGAGGAGACCTCCTCCTGAGGAGCCACTCCTGCCTTTTGGCAGCTCTGTGCGCCCGTGCATCGGGAAGAGGCTCCTCCTCTTCTTCCTCTTCACTTATGGGAGCTTCTGGAGGTTCTGAAGGCCC